TCCCATCTCCAGCTGGAGTAGGCAGGTGAGCCTGCACACTGAAGGGAGTTTCCTTTGTCAAACTTTTACTTGGTGATGGCTGGGAAATCCCTGGAAATCCCAGGAAAAACCAGGCTCCAGCCTGGCTGCCTGGTTGGGGGGAAGCCACAGCATGGGCAGTGCTGTGAGGTTTTCCCTGAGGCGAGGGATGCTGCTGAGGACTGCAAAATATTGAACTTCTTTGCCTTCGTGCCTTACCCAAGAGAACTGGGTTCTTCATAGTGAGGTCAGCCCTGAGAGTTTCCCGTTGGGATTATTTCTTCTGTTTTACTGTTGTCTGTCCCTTTTGCTCTCCTGGCCTAGCTGGAGACTTGCTCTGAAGACACTGAAATAGTGAGTGGCAAGCAAGGGATAGAGGTATTTGGTCCTTGTTTGTGTTCTTTGGGGAGCAGCCTGCTAAAGGGAGAGGCCAGATTCCCACTGGAAGCCTGACCCAGCTTCTAGTTTGCGGGATCAGAGGAGTAGAATGGTAATTGTCTTAAAAACTGCTCCCAAGGGCCAAGCTCACCCCATGAATCAAAGAGTTTGAAGCTGACTCCTCCCTTCATTTCTGTGCTAAAGAACAAGACTATAGATGAGACCCATCGTTTGTGCATTAATATGAACAAGGTGTCAGGGAGTGGTAAATGTAGGCAGCTGCCATTCCCAGGCTCTGCAGGGCTGCTGCTAAACATTCAGCAATATTTCTTCAATTCATACAGGAAGAAGGCACACATTGCTACTTTAAACTTGTACAGACGTAAGCTAACTGAATAAATAGTGCTGTATCTGTTTAAAATTGTTTGCAGAACATCATATTTTCATTTCAGTATGGGTCCAGGGCTTGGCACCACTACACAAGACAGAAGAGATGAATCCCACAGTTGTGAAGACATATATTAGGTCTTTTCTCCATGTTTTTATTCATCATTGCATTTCTGTTAGAAGGAGGGACAGAAAAAGAAAGTGACAGGAATCGAACAAGTTTTGCTTTGTGAGCTGGTAGTGTGATCAGGGGAAAAATATCCCCAAACAGATCTGAAGAAGGTGAAGCTCTCTTCAGGTACCGTGTCTAGGTGTCTGCACCCTCTTTCCACCTATATCAGCCTTGCTAGTTCTGCATTTCACCCATCAGCGTGCTTCACATGGGTTCCCTCTGACTGCAGAGTGAAGCGATTCTATTTTCCTGCAAGGGTGACGGATCATTAGGAGCAATGCTGCCTCCTGCCCTTGGGGGGTGAAGGCAGCTGAAGGCTGCTCATTGCTCCTTTCTAGTTTGGCAGCCCCGAAGCAAGCCTTGTCCACATCGTGTGCACATTTTACTCCAGCAGACCGATGTGGCTGTAGATAGTGGCTCTCTTGAGCTAGGTATGAACCACAAATCTGTCACTAAATAGATTTTCCTTTTGTTGTCACATTAATTTGCAACTCATTAATAGTGACAGCAGTGAGGTACTGCACTGATGCAGATTTGCATATTCATGACCAACTTATTATTAAACAAATAAGATTTCCCTAGCTTAGGAAGCACCCAGAGTAATGCCACATTGTGCATTATATCAGCTTGGATGTTTTATTTTCTCTTTAATATGTTAATAGATTCAAGCGGAGCTCTTTTTTAAAGTAAATGTGCATATATAAAACAGCATGTGATTTAAAATATCAGAATTGTTTAAATAGTAATCCATTAGCAAACCTGCCAATAATTGAGCAGGAATACCTATTTAGTGTACAAATCAATGAATCAATTCCAACTGCTGGCTTTGTCGCCTGATGACTGTAACACAGGCGGTACCAGCAAGGCAAAACAAGTCACTGTACCAGCGAGGGGAGTGAGGGGTGGGCAGACACCTGATCCCGGGCTTTATGGTTCATTACAGTCAAATTACTCAGTTTTCCTAGTTGCTTTTCTTTGATTCCTCACAGAGGAGTGATGGGAGAGAAAGTGAAGACGGTGCTGGTGTGGTACCTGCTGCCACCCTCTCGTCATAGCATCACTGAATCCCTTTGGTTTGAAAAGACCTTTAAGATCCCTGAGTCTAGCCATCGTCCTACTCTCGCCTCTGTGGCTTGGCTGAGGGAAGTGTGGCCACCGTGGCTCTGCAGGGCCCCCCTACTCACCCTTATCTCTGCCGGCAGCTGCTCCCCACGGGTGCCACCTTGACACCAGCTATGGGGAGGAGGAGGGCAAGCAGCACTCTGGCCCCTGGCATGGCAGGTGGGCTGTGGGCAGAGTGCTCCTCCTGGCGTGGTGGGGAAAAGAAACCCGAGACCCAAAGGTACTGTCAGGAAAAACCCCAGTTTGAGATGGGGTTGAAGCCCCTGAGAGTTCCACAGCCACTTAAAGTCTGCAGGCAGGAGGAAGGGGAGACGTGAAGCGCGAGGTCGTCCTGTAGGCAAGTATTTTTGTTCACTTGCTGATAACGGTGAAGGTTTTTTTCCCCACAAAGTAGCATAACTTTTTTTCTATCAGACTA